TTCTCCTGATTTGTGTTTGCTGCTAAGGCTGACCCATCCATAGTATGTGGTTCTAGCATGACACTCCTCCGACTTTCTTCTGCTCGGATTAATGAGATTGTCTCTTCTAGAGACGGTGTATCCTCCTTGCCGAGAATTTGGATTCTAACATGATCAAATTCAGGATTCAATCCTGCCAAAAAATCATATATTTGATCCTTCTCAATGAACTTCTTCAAGGTGACAGCATCATCAGTGCATTTTATCTCAATTACATGATAGTGATCCAGTTCCTGCCACAGATTCTGCAATAGAGTTGCATATTCTGTGACAGATTTATCTCCTTGTTTGGTTGCTTCGGCTTTTTCCTTGATTTCATGCACAAGGGCAGCATCGCGGGCTTTCGAGTATGTGTGGTTGATATAGTCCGAGTTTTCTTTTGCGGTGTTCAAGAACATCCAAGTGTCACTGATCATTGGGTCCATAGAATCCCATAGCCAGGACATAATCATGGAATCCTCCTCTTCCCATGCTGTAGAGGCTGGATCCCTTTTTTCTGGTCCGGTTCCAAGTAGGTGATTAATCCTCCCTTTGCCTTTTAGGTATGTGCGGATAATTTGGGACCATTTGAGATAGAACTTGTTGGATGCCCGAATATTCTGCAACTCTCCAATTTTCTGAACAGTATTGTATTCTTCAGAATGGTTGGAGTAGTTGTAGATAGTGGTTTCAGACATTGACATGGTGGAGAAGAAAAATTTGCAATAATTAAGACTAGAATCAACCTGCAGTGGATAAAAGAATCGCAACAATTAAGACAGTGAATAAAAATAATCTAAATAGCGACAAAGATCGCGAGATCTGCGGCTCAGGATTGCAGTGGAAAATAACAGAAAAAGATCACAAGCTCTGCAGCGACCACACAGCGGTAAACAACGCAAAGTACTTCAGCGGCAAAGATCGCAGAACGCAGATCTGCGTGATTAGCGGCAAAAGACGATCTTTCTCGTGACAACGTGTTGCTCCTCTCGGACGAAGCGAAGCGGCAACATGTTGCTCCTCTCAGACGAAGCAGAGAGGATGGAGCGCAGATCGCAGAGAGCCGCACCCAACCGGCAGGTTCGAATGGCAGCAACAGGCGGTGTCCTCTAGGGTTTGAGCATGGGCTCTGATACCATGTGGGAAATCAAAAAAATAATTTGTATTTCGCCATATAATTTGAATTGATCATACAAGGTATTATATAGGAAATTAAAAGAAGAAAAAATAGGAAACTAATTCTTATCATAATGCCCTTTCAAATCCCAATGAGTATTTCAAGCTATTTTCTTGATGATTGGTACATTAAAAGCCAAGTCATAACTAGACGGAATGCCACTTAAATTATCACCAACCACAATATAAAATAAAAAAAAATGCCAAAAAACAAAAGAACAAAAATTGGTTTGTTTTGCACTCAGATTAGGTATTCATCCATCATTGACACCAGCTTATCTAAGTTGGAAAATGCAAATTCAAGCAACATTCATAAAGCAAATCACATATTAAGCTTAACCACATGATCACATTTAAAAAAAAAAAAACTGATATCAATAAGAGTGTGACACATGCATTCTGACCATAATGTTTAAGTTGAATATGATAACACCATAATATTAAACGGCTTGTTTGTGATTAATTTTGGTATTTTGCTTTTTTATTTTTTATTTTTTTTACATTTATTCTAAAAAGATGCTTGTTTGGTATATTTTTTTCATGTTTTTATTTTTTGTTTTCCAAACTTAAATAACTTGTTTTTAAAAATACTCAAAACAACTAAAAGTTTTGAGTATTTTTAAAAACATAACATGTTATAACATACCAAACATGTTTTATTTATTTTATTTCAAGTAAAAACTTTATTAAAAAAAAAGAAATAAAAAAAGGGATCCCAAACGACCCCTAAAGTTATGTATAAAGCCCAAATATTTCTTAATAGCTAAGTGGCAGTTTGGGATCATTTTTGTTTTTTATTTTTTATTTTTTATTTCTTTATTTTCTTTATGTTTTGATTTGAAACAAAATATATCTGACAAATTACATTAAAATATAATTATTTTTAAAAATACTCAAAATACTTAAAAGTTATTTTAAATGTGTTTTGAGCATTTTAAAAATATGTTTATTTATTTTTATAAATACAAAAAATAAGTCCAAACAAGCCATATGTTTATGAGTTGTTAGGCATAATATGCATGTGATAATGAAGTTCTTTTAGCCAAAGTTAGTTTAAAATTGTCTCCTAGAAAATTCCACTCAATGCTTACGAGATTCTCTTGAACAATGCAATTTATGGTTGCTGAAAATGATATGTCAATCATTCTGAGTAGATTAAGATTCACGATTGCTAAAGATAACCACAGGATCTTGACCATTGATATCATTTACCTACCAATCTCTTTAAACTAATAAATAATGATAGCATATTCTTCTTCTGAAATCAAATGATTACTTATAAAAATTTAACATTGCAAAGTCTATCAACTAGTCCTAATCTAAAGTGCTCTCTCATGATCCAAAATTGTAATCATCAACTATTGGAACTTGATCATACGACAAACCTTCAAATTAGATCATGGAATCCAATTCAAGGTGAAATATCTAGGCAATATCTTATTTAATGTTATATCTGCCTTCTAAAAATTTAGCTTAGAATCACTCGAATGTAACAAAGTCAAGTGAGAATTTGAGGAGCCTACAAGGCTAAAATGTCTATGGTAAATCTCTGCGCAAAGCAACAATCCCCAATAGCGACCTTCAATAAGCCTTGCCAAGCGGTCTAGTGGGGTTTCAACGAAAAGATCAAAGGGCCTTTGGAACGATCAGTAAATGATGCTATGCTAGTCGAAGAAAAGGTGTAAGAACGAGCTCTGTACATAGAGCTCATTGGACAGCTGTAAGAGACGTCAATGAAGCACAATAAGCTCAACGGAGAATGGGAAGGCACAAAAACATAACAATACTTTTCTAGGTTTTTTTGAGCCTCTATGGACAGGGGTTGGGAGTTTAATTGGTAGAGAGGTCTGGGTGGCAAGAGAAGCTGAGCAACGTGGATGGGTTGGCTTAAATGATATGACACAGTCCTGTGATGGCATGGCCTGCGAAGACTAAGGTGATATGAAAGCTAGAAGCATGGAACACTGAAAATATTTATGAAATGGAGAAAAAAAATGACTGATTTGATTTTGTTCTATGCATTTGCTCTTTTGCTTTTGAAAAAAAATAATGAACAAATTTTTAGTTTTAAAATATCAGAAAAATTCAGAAAAAATGTTATTTTTATATAATAATCACAAAATATAACATTAAGTGACTGCATTATGAAACGACCGCAAACACTCATCATAAAATGTAAAGAAGTGAACTCACCAAAAACAGTAATGATCCTCTCAACTTTTCTGAAAATTTTCCTTCTTTCTGATTCTTTGTTCCGAGAATATCCAATAGTTTCATCAATTGGATGCAAGAGAGTGGACAGCAACAACGCGACACGCCAAAAGCTTTTTATGTCACGCAGAAGCAATCCTGAGTAAAATTAATTTATCAAGGATCCAAAATAAGTATAATCTCGAACTTTAAATAGAATATAATTAAGCGTGCAACAAAGAAACTGAAAGAAAGAGAATTTCAATTTCAATCTCAAGTAGACTAACTATGCTGTAAAAGCGAATTGTTTTCAAAAAAGGAACAAGTCATATACAGCAGTAAATAAAGAAAATATACAAAGGAAACAGTGAAAATCGTGATGGAAAAGAGAGCTAGAAGAAATACAAGCAGATGGTTAAAAGAAAGTATATGAGGGAAACAATGGATGAGCTTTTCATCTACCTGCCAAGACCCGCTTCCTTGAAGCTGGTGGTATATCAAGGAATTCGTCTTCAAGCTTGGCTTCAGCTGGTACAGGCTCTCTATCTGATTCCAAGAAAGGAAGTAATGAACTAAACCTCTCAACTGCACCATGTAAGGCGAACACCTAGAAATACATTTCTTGAGGAAGACAACTTTGATGAAGGATGTAAAGAATTAAGCCAACAACTTCTAAAAGCGACAAGTAAATTCATTGAGAATAACTAACCATTTCAGCATCATTAGCTTTCAGCTTCAAAGAATTTCGTATGATAAAGTTAGTTACTGGAATCTGTAAATTAGGTGTCACAAAAAATTTATTCAAACTGGAACTATATAATAGAACTACAAAAACGATAAAAAACCAGTGATTTATGGTTAAGTCAAAACCAAGAAGACAATATAACATAATTATATTGGACAAATAAAACACCCGATAAAAATTTTTAAATTAATCAGCAATCGGAAATTGAAGATGTAAGATAACCTAATTCAAACAAAAAGATTTAAACATACCTCATAATACTGAAACAAAAGTTAATAAATTTAAGAAGAAAAATCAATGAGATCTCTTGACAAACTTCATAGTCCTGGGAACCTACAACAAACGGAATCTTGGGTTGCTGGCTTCTAGAACATGCGGGCATCTATGTCATGAGTGAAATGAAATACTAATCTAATCATCTTCATCGTCATAGCTATCTGCAACATAATGTATTACAGATACTCCACAAATTTTTGCTTAATCATAAAATTTGAGTAAATGGATCCATTTACTGATTGTATCAAACACCAATCAGCTGGACGGAAGAATTCGTGGAAGGTGCTTCAACTTTTTGATACACTTTACAACAAAAACCATAATAGGGTGTTCATACGATTTGGCAAGGTAAGCGGTAATAGCAACAGCAGAGGGATTGTGGGGTTGTGGTTTGGGGATGGTAACAATCTCGGGCGGCCTGACAGCAGAATGACAGAAAGGTGGGTGCAGGTTTGGGAGGCAGCGACAGCGCAAAGGAAAGAGAGGAGGGTTTGTTTTGGAAGGCAAGAGAAGGGGTATGTGGAGTCTGGAAAGAGGTAAGAAAAATGGACTGCAGAAAACAACTATCGGGGTTGTCCGGATGCTACAGTAGGGGAGAAGGTGGGCAAGGAGGCTGGTAGGTTGGTTGGCGGTTAGATGGAAATCAGCAATAAGGTAATAGGCGGCTGGAAAGAGCCGCAGGAATTCATGAAGGCTGTTGGAACATGCATTGTTCTCCGGGATGGCTGCAGCAAGTAGGCAACGGTAGCAGTAGAGGGAAGGTTTCACAGGAAGGGAAAGTATAGGATGGTCATCAACTCAGAATGAGAAACAATCAAAGCACCACTCGCCCTCGGATAAGCCCTAGAAGAGGAAACCAGAGATGTCGATGGTTATCATGACAGACGACAAGACCAAAAATTGAGGATCCAAACCTAATACAACACATGTAGGAAATGACTAGAAATGAAGAAAAGATAAAAAGACACGTGCTGAAATTTGGAAAAGAATCGAAAGAGAAGTCGCTTGGTTCGATTATGTGTTGTTTGTGCGACCTAGATGCTGCGTCCGGTCCAGGTTGCTGAAGATGCCCGCATATGTCAGAATATGTACAATCTTAAAAAATCACATCTTAAGACTGTATATCAATTTTTTTAAAAGAAAATTATTCAAAGTGGATAAGAATCTGACCTTAAAATTTACAAATGCAGATTTTATGGTCGATAGAAGGTTAAGTTTAAGAGATTGCACTTTTTTATAGAGCAATCTAGAAGCTTAAGAAAAAATATGAAGGCAAGATATAAAACGAAAGAATAATTTGACTCTATAAAATTAAAAATCAGCAAAATACCTATGGCTAAAAATTAATCAAAAAAGATTTAAAAGTTGAATGAAAATATCATATGGAACATTACCGCCACAGAAAATCATGTATTAATATTGCATACAGCCTTATACAATATATCAGCACTAGGCATAATGAAGTTGACAAATATGTGAAAAAGAGAAAAACTTCCAGGCATTCTCATCAAAGGATTATAAGGGATAGTTTTTCAAAAGTTATCAGGCAAGATTTTAATAGATAATATCCATTCATTCGTTTGAGTGTGAAGATACCTACAGACCAACATGCCATAAAATTTGCCCCAATATATCACAATTCAGCCCAATAAAATCATCCCTAGTTCATTTTGCCTCAGTAAATCCACATCAACTAATGCCCAGTGAATTCACCTCCTGGATATAAAAAACCATCCCGCCGACTCATTTACCCCTCTCCAAATGTTCGACAAGCACTCATTTTCTTCCCTGCCACCTCACCAATCCATAGACTCATCTTTGCCAACTCACCAATCATGAAATCGTTGTTTCCACCTCATCAATCTATTTGCTATTATAATTTTAATAAATAATGTAGTTAATTTTCATTCCCAATATATTATACATTTCCTGCCAGTGGTTCCCTTAGGACTTGTATTGATTCTAACAGAAACAATGAAAAGAAATACATGATAAATTCTCTGCAATTCATCTCACTAACATTATCAACTTTATTAACATATCGTGAACTCTTAGTTCACCATATGCACATTGACAAACTTCACGTTCAGAGGAAATGATACAATGTTAACAGCCGTGATTAAATAATTAAAAAAATAAAATAAAGATATTCATTTTCCATAAAAGGAACAATTGGAACCTTTTTTGACTTGTTGTCAGTGTAAACTGTATTTTTCAAAGGAAGAAAAAGTGCCCCATACAAATATAGTCTCTTTTGTTCATCCTGAAATTTTGAAAGGTGACTGAAAGTTAAAATAAAAAACATAATGCTGAGCCATAACAGAAAACTAATGCAGAGCATATAAGAGAAAACTGAAAAAAAATTCAAATCAAGAAATTGAAAGCCATTTAAAGGGCATTGTATAAATACATACAATATTGACTACGTCCACTCCAAAACATAGCAAAAATTAGAAGGATTAAAATCAAGGGCTTGGAATTTTCCCTACTCCCCCAAGAAGAAAGTATTAGTTGGCCCAATACTAAAATGTTAAAAAGATTAAAAATAAACCTATAAAAAAATGTCAGAGAGCCCTAATAGCTTAAAAGTAAAAACACAGTTTTAAGAACCATGCATTTCTCTATATATACCACAGAATTGGACCTGATATTTCCTAAACATAGAAAAAAATATTATCGGCAAGTGTAAATGGAGCTAACTTAGCCTTTAATCAAGTTCAAGTTCAAGAGAATACAACAAAATATCATCTCAAGTATAAGAAGTTGAACTTACAAGTACTATTGTCTTTAAGTTCTACCTAAAAAACAAGTTTCACATGCATGCCAGTTTTTGTTAACTAAGAGAAAAAAGCTGAAAAAAGCTGTCTCAAGATTAGAACTTTCTAGTATAGCTAAAATTATGTATAGTATGATTATATGCAAAAAATGAGGGTTCACAAGTCATAAGCCACTGAATAATTCAATCACTTGTTTTCTTTAAATGTAAACAACAATATTGGAATGAAAACTTAAATGTAATACTGGATTTTCAAGGTATTATTTTTTTCTTATCAAAATCAAGGGCACTAAATAAGTCTGATTAAATTACACGGATGGAATAGAACAAGGAAAAAAATATATGCCAACATTGTGTAACTGTATGCCCCTAAATATTTTTTGTAGCCTCCTTATCCCTAACTTAGTATATGGAAGCACACGATCAGCCGTAATTGAGATAACCATTAAATTCACACTTAAGATATTATCCAAAATAAAGAATTTAAGTAACAACCTAATATCTGAAACACTTTGCATTGAATTGTACAGTCTGTATGCTTGAAAGCGTGTGCTCTGCATTAATAAAATAAAAATGTTACAAAAATTTGATTCATATCTGAAGCACATAGTACCGTCTTTATCCAGAGAAGCTACATTCTCATAAGCTCATTAAAACTTATCACTATCAAAAGAGGCCACAGTAACAACCAGAAGCATAAATGGACGCAAGATTCATATCAAAACTTGAAATTTTTTACTCTCTTTACAATCATAATGATGGCCCACCCAAAAGGAATCATATATAGAATTTGAGCTAAAATTGGTGATATAATAGAACAAAACCAATACGATCTCATTCCGAATCATCTAAACTAACCTAAAGTAAAACAATTACAACCTTTATCAAGGCCAGTATAGAAGCATGTTATAAACAATTGAAATTATAAAACAAAATAAAATAAATCAACTAATGAAAATAAATAAGTTTTGCTCAAATCATTGCTTGATGTAAAACTTCTAAAATTAAATAATTTATGCTTAAACTTTATTATCTGGCGGCCACATTATAAATTATAACAAATTTTATGCTTTTTATAGATCATCGCAAGTAGGTTTGTCTCATTAATGAAGGATGTCTCTAGAATTCAATATCATCATGTTAGACTGATGCCTAGGGCAATTTAGACTTTTATTAATAATTATTGTTTAACATAAATAAGGCTTATTATATTTAGGGTTAGATATGTTATATGATTTTTGTCTTGAGTCTTAGGATTCGGGTTTGTAGGTGTTAAGAGAGATTGCCAACCTCTCGAATTATAGGTGTTTATTCTTTATGTATTTTGTCGTTTTGTTTTATTAAAGAAAAAAATTGTTTTGCCCTAATTTCTATGAAAATTCCTATCAAATTGGTATCAGAGCAATGGTATCAGAGCAATCGATTTCTGAGCAATCGATTTCTGCGAAATCACCGATGGCATCGCGTCACACAAAGCCTTCGTCTTCGTCCTTCCGCCGCCAACTGGATCACGGATTCTAGAAAGCAACGTCGCATCGCAAAATCACGGTATTCAATATCTCGATTGAGTACTAGAAGTGATTCCAACATTTCTTCACCAACTGGATCGCGGCTCCTTGATTTTGAGAAGTTGACGAGATAGCGACATACAAAGACAACCGTGATTCGATCTAAGGAAAGCAAAAAAGGGATCACAACTTACAAGGAGAATTGAAGGATTGTTGGTTGTGAAGTAGTCATGGTTTTTACAGCATCGCGAGTACAAACACACATCCTTAACCTAAAATTGCTCAAGCTAGCCGGGAAGCCAACCACGGGATCGCAGCGTATAGTAGTTTCGCCTTTGTGATCTAAAATCTTTTTGGGATTAGTAGTAGCTACGAAAGTAGACGCTCCAGGAAAAAATTAGAGAAAGAAGTGAATAAAATCAAATTTGAAATGGATGAGCGTTTCTCGTCCATGGAAGGAAAATTCACGGCTCTCTAGAATAAATGATGAAAAATATCATAGAATTTAACATAAAATCAAATTCACCTACCACAAATTCGAGCAATGACATTGGGAACAGATGCGAGCAGTAGAAGTCTGAAGGATTTGCACAGCAACAGAACAACGTCGCTGCTTTAAGCAGATCTGATGATACCGGAATTAACCACGAAATCAATAAGGAATCAAATTTTTAATATGCAAAAGCACTGGGCTTACAGTCACGACCACAAAATAAAAAGAAAGCAGTACAAAACACAAATATCCCGCTAGGGCGAAGTAGCACAGCAGGTGGAACGGTGGTGAGGTGGCTTGGGGGTCGTGGACAACAAGTGGAAGTGGTGTAGAAGAGTGTCGGGATGAGCAGGTCAGTGCAGATAGGGAGAGGTCAGGTGAGAAGGAAGAGGTGGCTGGAAGGTAAGGGGGAACTGGAGAAGGGGTAGGGAAGATAGGGTGAAGGGTGAAGGTTAAGAGAAAGCATCTACGGCTGCGGGGGGGGGGGGGGGGGAGGGGAATGGCTAAGAGTTGGTTGCAGTTGTGAAGGCTGCAGTTAAAACAGGTAAGGTGTAAAAAAGTTAGGCGTCAACAAAGAAGCACTTGAAGGTTTGTGGTTGTAAGTAGGGGTGTAAACGAGCTAAACTTGAGCGAGCCCAAGGCTTGTTTGTGTTCGGCTCGTCAAAAAAATTTTTTTGTTTGTGTTCGAAATAGCTCGTAAGTAGCATTTTCGTGTTCGGCTTGATTCGAACATATTTGTTTGAATTAAGATCGTGTTCGAACTCGAATTAAAATTATATATATATATATATATAATTAGCGCTTAATTTCATGACAATAAATAATCTAGAAAAGAAGAGAAATCAACAGCAAGCAAAACTAGAGTATGAAGAAACATAATCAGTAAGGTTTCCAAAATGTTATGTAAAGCACAATGGAGGCTAGAAGAACGAAGATATGGATAATTCAAGCAAAAGCATACCGCCAATGGTAGCTACGGTTCGCTGAGAGATCTTGGATGCCAACATGCTCCCTCCCACGACGGCAACTGATGAGCAACTGATGTACATATCGTGTGGCCTAATGTAGCACCTACAGCTACTCCTATAACATTCTTATGAGTAGCCAGAACAATTGTGGTTATCTGGCTGCGATCCCCCCATTCCGCTAAAAATGTCAAAATGAAAGACTAGGAAAATAGGCATGCAAAATCTGGATAATAAATGACGATACACTGATTTTCCTTGCCCAGATTCAAGTTTTCCTTCTTCTTCCATTTCCTTTTTCTGAGATGATTTAGAATCAGATCTCCATGCAATGTACAGAAGACGGAGTCCAAAGAACAAATAGAGCACAGTAGCAGCATTGTTGGTATGCTTTCTTGATATCAAGTTTGGCACTATCCTACCAAGTCCTGTTGACAAAACTGTCATCACAATAAGAGCACTGAGTGCACCAGACAGGACTATTGACTTTGGATGCCGCATTGCCATGAGAGCTGCTATAATAAATGTCTCATCACCGATCTCACTGATGAGTATCATGGATAGACTAGCAAATTAGGCATCAAAAAGTCCCACGCCATCTTGGCCTACTGGAAGGCCAACACCTAAACTTTTGCCATCTCTTTTGACTGAGCTCAGAAACATTTTGGTACGGCGATCTAAGGGCATCACAGACGCATTCTCGTCACTCCCCACTCTTGCTTCCTGAGCTAAGGCAAACGCGGATAGGAAAAAAAGTAATAGGATAACGAAAAAACCACGCTTATTGGCCCACAGATCCATGGTGAGGAACGTTTTACACGGGTACACCGTAGCCTCAGATCTAAATCACTCGAACCCGAAAGAACAAAAAGATCTAAAGCCAGGACACAGAGACACGGTCGCAGAGCTGAAACACGCCACCAAGCCCGTCGCGGCTTCCCCCTCCCGCTATTATAGCACTCTAGCAGGAGGGCATTGGCCGACTTCGTGGAGGGGGAGCATCTTACAGCGGGAGAATATTTATACTACACACTAAAATCGGCCATGGTTTAATTCACTGGCTCTGTGCAGGCCTACTTTATGTTTGCATAACGTATGGGCGAACGGAGAGCAGCCGAAGATCCATTTTTACGTATTTACATAAGCTACACCCTTGCTGTAACAGTGGGTGTGGCCTGTGGTGCAGGGAACCTTGAGAAATTTTTTTGATACATTTAAATGAGTACCAACCAATTCTTATGTATTCTAAAATTTATTTTTTCAAAATTTAAGGGAAAATTATTACCTATGTAGCAACAATTTTTATGTATTATTTTTTTATATTTATATTAAATATATCATTGATTTAATTTTTATATAATTTATTATTATTTATTTATTTATTTCGAGTCAAAACAAGTTGAACACGATCGAACAACTTCTTGTTTGTGTTTGGCTCGTTTTAAAAAAAAAAAATTATTCGTGTTCAACTCGCTTGTTTAACGAGCGAATTAAATATGAGTTACTGACTGAGACGAACAT